TTTTTTTTACAGTTTAGAAGAGATAAACACACTGCTAACAGACTGTTACTTTAATCTTCAGGAGCCCTTAATGCTGACAAGTGAGGAGCACTGGGATTTTCCAGTCACAAGAGAGCACCTTCTGCAAGACATATGGACCCATTTAAAGGATGCACCAACCCAGCAATTCAGGAAGATCTTAAAGGTAAGACCTGCTCAAATTGTACTGTTTGTTGGCTCTGAATATATTGCTGCAGTGTTCTTTGGTTTTCAGTGTTACTGAAGTATTGGTAGAAGGGTTTCAGTATTCACTGAGCATACAACAAAACAACTACTCATCAAATTATTATAAAACATGTTCCATGGGGAATGTAGAGTAAATCTGGAGGGCAGTCTTACATTCTTATTCCAGGTAGCCACAAAGCTTTGTTGGTATAAGTTAAATGCAAGTGGCAGTGCTATTTACTGTGAAGTTGCTTCGGGGTAATGTAATAGGATTGCTCAGGAAACTGGTAATTGGCAAAGTCCATGACTATTACTGCTAAACTGACTTTAAAGTCTCTAGGCTAGTTTGCTGCACATGAAAAACCTGGTGGCTGGGGAGCCAGACTTAAGAGGCCAGGAAGCAACACAGCCACAAAAGCCATTTCTTTCATGGAGGTGCTGCCTGAGGGGAAAAGGGTAGTGCCACCGAGAGAGATGAAAATCTGATTATAACGCTGCTGTCTCTGTGTGGCTTTATCTGACTTCCACACAAGCTCAAAGGTTTTGGCAGCTGTATTTTCTAAAGGTATTGCAATGCTAGCCCTGCCCCGCAAATGCCATTAGATGGCTGACGTGGGAACGGGGCACCTGGCCAGAGCAGAGCTCAGAGCTCAGCTCAGGGACCACGTGCCGTATCAGTCACTAACACAAGGGCTGTCAGAGCCTGGCACCATGCCTGCGCAGCAGGAGCTGTCAGCTTCAGTGCCCTACGACCCAGTTCTGGTTCTTTCCGAGTGAGCCTTCTTGCCAGCCAGAACTGTCAAAGCTTTTCCCTCCTGTATACTTAGGGGAAGATAAAAGGCTCCTAGAGCTACCTTTCCTTTCCCCTCCCTCACTACATCAGCTGAAAGAGGCATTTATTTCCAGTGGCAATACGGCTTGTGTTCTGTACTGTCCTCTAGATCTAGGACCTCTCTCCACTGATTGTATCAGAAGCCCCGACAAACAGCGGCACTTAGCTAGTCAGCCTCCAGATACCCCTCCTGCGGGCACTGCCTTTCGTACTGTGCATCCCAGCAGGATTTGCCCAGCAGCAGCCTGATCAATTTGACTGCATTATTAGTATCCCACCAAGAGACACTGAGGTCTGCAGTCCTGGTGCTGCATTTCTGAATTTTTCAACAGGTAAAGGATATTCATGTGTTTGTGTTGCAGATATAAACCACCCAGTAAAACAACGTAAAAAAGAAACCCTCGTAATAGATTGTCATAGCATTAACCTGTCCCCTTCATAGCTGTGTCCTGGTAAGACATTTTGTCAGACAGTACTGAGAACACAGTTCTCTGCATGGACACCCTCATAGTGGTCTGTCACTCCATTCTCTAGTGTTTCTGTGAATTAAAACAGGGAAGGTTGAAGTATTTAGCAAAAGTATCTTCTGTTCCCTCTCTACTGGAGGAGATAGCGCTAAGGCGAAAGATACTCAACATACGTAAGCAGCATTAGTAGCTACTGACTTGGGCACCAAATCCTGGGCTCAGCTGGAGTTATTTTTCCTCTAACCTGTCAGGAGATGCCTCTTTAATGAATATGACCCAGCCTGGCTATCCTGCTTCGGCACTCAGACACATATAACAAATAGTACAGGGACATACATCTCCTAAGCAGACACGGAGTATTTTGGAGGCCACTCTCACAAAACCTCCAAATGCACAAGTACATTTTTTCTGCAGTGCTGTAATTTCCCCACCTTTTTCTTAAAAAAAAAAAAAAAAAAAAGGGCAAGTGGCAGCTACTGGACATACAGACACAGGTATCATTCCAGTAAATTTCTTCATTTAACTCAAGTTTTGTTATTAAACATCAGCCTAATTTATTTTATGGTTTTTTGAAATGAAGACAAATACATTTCAATATACACATCAGTTCAAAACAAAACTAAAGCTCATAATTCAAAGAGAGACTCATATTGCTGCATGTTATCATTGCTTATTATTTAAGATTAGTTATTTCAGTCAGGGTACAGGTCTTCCTCATAAAAATAATCATAACCTAGAAGACTTTCATTAGTGCCACTACAAATGCACAACACACTTGATAGCATACACTAGAAGGAATTAGTGCTTCTTGTTATTCCTCCTCTTTATCTGCTTTGCAGTAATTAAGTAATAGCCTGCTGCAGAGGACTTTGTACAGTTCCAGATACCACCAGGAAAATGACGACAGTCCGTAGTGCCAGAGGGGAACTCTCTTAAATCAACTGCAATACCCAATAAGATAAATAAACTGTGTTGCTTTAGAGAAGCCCAGCGGGTAGCAAACACATGGCACTAGTTGTGCCTAAAAAGCTTAATCCCCATCCAGGTCCATAGGTGGAAGAATACATAAACCGGTATTGTAACAGGGAGGAGGAGACTGTAGAAACATAAGCTGTTTGTGCTGGTGCAGCCCTGTGGGAAGGTGTCATCTACGCTGGCAGAGTAAAACAAGCCTGCGAGGGACAGGAGGGGAACAAGTACAGTCAGCGTGGGCAGGGAGGGGAGCATCCCTCCTCGGGCCATCGGCCCCGGTTAACCGCTGTGGCTGGTGGGTCCTCAGGGCTGCTTCGAGCCCTCAGCTGGGGGCTTCTTCCGAGTCGTCCTGGCAGCCTCTGGGATCATGTTGGGGATGCCGTCGATGATGGGGTAGGCGATGCCCAGCTCCTCGTTAATGAGCTCGTTGGTAGCTTCTTCATACCTGGCCAAGCAAGGCGGGGGGGG